GGTGGACTAATGCTCGCATGCATACAGTACATATGAACATGTGTACATCTTTTGTTTCATTTACTTTTTCTTCATATCTTGAATTAGTGACCCTCAGCAATTTAGTTACTTGACGTGGTCTGTTTTCAGCTCTTCACAAACCATGTCCAGTAGTTATAGATCTGAAGAGGTTATTAAGCATGGTCCTGCTTCCAGTAGATTAAGTCAGTGAGAGATGCTAGCTTTCGTAGCTGTTTCCATTAAAGCAAATTTTCCAATTTCTGAAGTGTCATGCTGCACTGCGTTTTAATTAGTTAGGCTAGTATGATTTGTATTACAAGTTTATACTATTTTAACTAATGGAGCTTCTACTCTTTGCAGAACGAAAACCGAACCTTATGGAAATTGGGTACACTGCCTCCAGGTTTAATCACATTTTATTCTACTACGAAGCCACTCGACAAGTCTTGGCATGTGTTGGGGCTTGGCTACAATCCAAGCATAAGCATGGATGAGATCAATAATGCTGCAGTTGTCCACTTTAATGGGAATATGAAGCCATGGCTTGATATTGCAATGAACCAATTTCGGCCCCTTTGGACAAAGTATGTGGATTATGAAAATGAGTACGTGCAGGCATGTAATTTCGGTCTTTAAATAAATGAGGTCAGGTGGATTTATGCTTCATGGGTTTAATAAGCTATTCCTACAAGCATCCCTTAACATGACTTGCCGTTGCTCTCTCCCACGGAAAATTAGTGCTCATTTTTCTATGCCTTAGCTAGTAATTTGTCTATCCAGATCTTCGCGTTTTTATCAACAGTAGTTTGGTGTTTTAGTTTTCAATTGTCTATATGGTGTTGAATTTTTATGGATGGACCAGAAGTTAAAATAATATAGCAAGTTCTATTTAATTCAGAAGGCTACTGTCAGAGTTTAGATATTGGCAATTTTGTGGGTAGTAATTTACTTCAGAATTCATGATTAAGCAACATTATTTTTTCTGGTATTTAATTTCGTCACTCTGTGTAGTCTGTAGGTCAGCTGTGCCTTCATCTCGAGTATGGGATGCATTTCAAGTTGTTAGTGCATAGATTTATAGGTTCGTATATACAACCTTCTTGTTTGCAAGTGAACTCTCTCGTTCACAGTGAATAGTACCCCAAAACTGCTTAGTGATTTGCAGATTAACTCCTGAAGGCAGCAGCTTCAAATGTTTTCTTTCAGATTGCTTATGAAGTCATCGATCAGTAAGTGTGTAGTTAATTATCATATGCAACTGAGACCAGTTTAGATATTTTTCAGCCTGTATGCATTTATTATGTCGTACATGATTCTGATGGATATGGTGCTGTACGCCAACAAAATTCAGTTACATTCATTGTGAACTGGTACATAGATGAGCACCGGCACAATGGATGAAATTGTTGAGATGCGCGAGTTAATTGGACACCATCTTTATAAAAAACAAAATAACTAACTATTTCTTTCAATACTAGATAAAAGACAGACAACTGAGGGTTGTTTGTTTGGTATGAGGTATAAGAAGGTATAGTGCTGGTATAAAAATTTATTACTCCCTCTGTTTTAAATTAAATAAGTTACTTTCCTTTTTAGTCTATTTCAAAATAAATGACACATTTCTAAATTTGAAAATAATTTAACTTTAAACTCTTCATTTTACTTTTTTTACCCTTAATAAGAAGTTTTTATAACCGCACAAATGCAATAACCCTACAAAGCTTTTATCCCTTAAGTTTTTATGACCACAAACTTTAAGAGTTATTTTTTTGCTTAAACTCTGTACCGAGTCAAACTACCCCATCTAAATTGAAACGGAGGAAGTACCCTTAATACTTTGTTTGGTTAGCAAACCTGGTATAAATTATCCCGAAATTAAAATTAATACCGGGATAACTTATACCTTGTAAAGGGTGGGGTAGTTAAAACCAAACTTGTACCTTCTTAAAAATTATGCAATTATTATTTTTAATACAACATACCAAACAGTGAATAAAAAACAATATCAGAACAACTAATCCCTGCATAATCTATCACGGCATAAGACAAATTACGCTGCATCTGATCATAAAGCCACGCAAAATCACGGTTAAAATAAATAAATTTCCACGATCACAAGTAAAAAGCCCCAAACAATAATCCAATACAAAAAGGCCCAGAAAAGACGGGATAATCTCTTCCTAGGGCTCAGATATGCTACACAAAGGAATCTTCTAAGAACTCCATTCCTATCTCACCTATGATTAACAAAAAAATAATTAACTAGAAAAATTAGCAAATAGAGCTCTTGGGAAAACATCATTGCTCCTGACAAAATTTCTTTCCACCTCAACAGTTAATCATTTAAAAGTCAGATTCAAATAATAAGACCAACTCTCATTTCGCTCTAAGCTACTACTATTCAAGCTGTAGCAGAATAGCGGGGTGCCATGTTTTTAGCTGTTCCATTAGGCACCCCACCACCACGATTCATTCGCCCACCTGTGTTGTCAGTTCGCCGATATCCATCGCCTCCGCGGTTTGATGACCCCCCACGACTGCCACCCCTGTTGTTGAACTCATTTCTTCCATTGAAATCATCTCGACCATAGCCCCTGCCACCTCCATAATTTCCTCGTCCTCTTCCACCATCGTTCCTGAATCCAGCACCCCTTCCAGATTGAAACCTACCTCTGGTGTTACCTGCAATAGAGATAAGACAATTAAATTCATTGTAAAAAGGTAATAATGTTGCTACACTTTCTAGGAGTGATTCGTGAAGTCCAAATTTTAGACATTTTCCTTCTTAAGATCCGTAATAAAGCAGGGCAGCCCAGCGGCCCCTACCCGCTGCTCCATTATCCGCTTCGATATCCATTTCCCCTTTATATACATAAATGGATATCGCTTTATGTATAAATTAAAACCAAAACATCAACGGCCCCTCAAAAATGCCATTTCAGCTTCCTCTTTTCAAGAATGCTTTGCCATGAAAGCGGAAAAACAAGATAATACTCTCCTCAATCAGAAAGGACGCAGTAATTATAGAAACATGTCCTTTACTATACCCAACACAACACATGTCGAATATGCAATTATTTAAACTTTTCCTATTGGCTACACATCTGTCATTCTAATCACTTCCAAAGGACAATCATTAAGCTTACCTCGAGAATTGGTAGACCTCTTCTCCTCGACCACAGCTTGCCACCCACCGATTAGAACTGGAGAAGCCTGAAGCAAAGGAAGCCCAAAAGAAAACTGAGTGGGGGCAAAGGAACAAATTGGATGAGGCATAACACAAGCAAGGAGTACTAGCATGCATACTAGCCTAAATGATAACCATACCAACATGACCCAAAGTGCATATTCAATAAAACCACCATCTGCCTCCGAGACCTACCACATGAAATCTTCCAAACCAGATTTAACAATTCTTGCCTCTAAAGTAATTTCCATTCCCTTGAACTGCACAGTTTAAAGCTTCTACAGGGAACAACTTGGAATGCATAGTATAGCCACATGTCAAATATACTCTTGTACCTTACAATCTGTTTTTTCATCTAGTGGGGTTTACAACAACTCATGACAAATATCAAATGGGAAAGAAGAAATCTAGTTTCTAAATCTACAAACATGTCAACCTCTTTTAGAGATGACAAAAAGGAAAATAGTGCAACATAAATGCAGAGGAGATAGTTTTATATTTGCAGAACTGGCTGAGGTGACGATAAGAATTGTTAATTAAGGCCAAATGTGATAGACCCACAAGAGTGCAAGCCGCCACACTTCAATGGGTTGTGTGCAAGGAACATTTACTTAACTTGGACAATACCAAATTTTACCCAGAAACATGTAATGTAATCCGACAGAATTTTTACGGGTTAGACAAGGAGTAAACTTCATTAATAGGCAGCACAAATCAACTGATGCAAAAGTTTAGGTCAATTAGGAATACCTTAATAGCCCAAATTAAATTGTAAAGAATTACCCAAATAAACTTAAAAAGGGGCATTCTGGTACCCTAAGCTCCCACTATGCGGGGAGTCCGGGGAAGGGCCAGACCACAAGGGTCTATAGTACGCAGCCTTACCCAAATAAACCTAATTGGCATAAATTTCATTCCAGCTGCGTAATTAGTGAAAATATTACATGGCATTGAATTCCAGATCATTTGCGGCAAGATGACGAAATTACAATGATGGAGACAGTCAATTTGGGGTTAAAAAGAAAATACCCAACTTCAATATTTAATCAAGACCTTAAAAACAGTACTTCCTCAATCCAGTGCCATCAATTTGCTGATGCTGGATAATGAGGGAAAAGACTTACTTGGACAAACTAGTCCACCAAGCGAAATAACTGCCATTCCATTTTATTGTTCTTTTGTTTTGGGAGAGAGGAGAATGTTTTGAGACATATGTAGCAGCTCAATTGTATAACTACATATTAAAAAGACCCGGTTTTGATTTGTAAAGGCCGGGCTATGACCCATTGTTTAGCCCATCATAACCCAAACAAATTTCAGGAGGTGGGGTCACAACTTGTTCATTGACTCAAACCTATTTCAACTCCTCCAAAATCTGATCCAACACACTCATTTGACAGATCGTACAAGATTAACATTCAAACTACTTCAAATTCAACAACTTTTATTTGAGAAACCTTCCAGCATAAAGCAGTCAAAATCAGTATGAGCTTTCATAGAGCTACTATGCAACAATAAGTTAGAAAAGTTACCAAGTCATTATTACTAGAAACATCAAACAATATAATGTAAAACTAAAACAGACATTGAAACAAAATCAATTAATTAGTTCCACAAAAGCAGTTTAAAGTAAAGCCGAAACGACAAAAAGCTCAACTTCAAAGAAAAGAACAGCTCACAGCAATATGGTTACTCAACAC